TGATAGAGTATGTAAAGCACTGTATTTTTTTTTACACTACAGAAGTTTATTTGCCAGGCAAATTCTCATGAATTCTCAAGTCAGTAGATTTGAAAAAAAAAAAAAAAAGACAACAAAAAACCTCTTTTCTGTCTGGTAGTCTTCTACAGTAACATTCATCACTTTATTGCTATTTTGCTTCAAACACTAGCTTTTTTCTAAATTATGGTACATCGCTGTGGGTATGTGGAATAAGCTGCTGATAGAGCAATGTGATAGATTTATTCAATGAAGTTGTTAACAAAAAACATTTAAAGAAATCCATGAGCTCTTTCTACGATTTTTGGTTGCATGAGGACTTCTGAAATTGTTTCCCCCATCAGAATAAAGATTTAATAAAAATTCAAGGCAGAAACAATGAAATATTTTATTTCAGTAATATTGAAGCAAATAAGCTGAGCTTACTCTAAAGCAGTTTTAATCCGAGGCTGAAACAAAATGCAAACGGCAGCGCCGGCTTAAAAGATATTGATCGCTAGACGATGCAACCACCACGAAAAATCTGTTCTCTCCCATGTTCAGATTTTCATCAAGCTGCCTCTTCAAATGCCAAATCTTCTGCCAGTGCAGTGACCAGGCAGACACCCTACTTGTGTGACCGCTGCCTGCAGATAACGTGACCTTAAGCTGGTGAGGAAATGGATGGATTTGCTCCCAACTCCATGTGACTGTGGGAAAGGAGGCTGTGGCAAAAAAAAAAAACCCAGGAGCAGATGGGGGCGCAGCCTCCCCATGGGGGTTTTGGGGAGTTCCCTCCTATTTCTGAGGAAAGGAAGCGAGTACTGACCTGCGTTATGCAAGGATGTGTTGGTGAAGCAGAACTGAGGAGAAAACGGCCTAAATCCAAACTTCCTTTTTTGTTCCTTTTGTAAACTCTTCAGCCCATTCTCTGCAGCGTGGCAGGTTTTTGTGTGACGCCTCGTGCTATGGGTTTCACTCTTCTAGAGAGGGTAAACAAGATTTTTGATAGCAAGGGCAGACCTGTGCTCTGCAGTTTCTCAGCACTGTTTCTCTGCAGGGCCTGCAGACAGTGTTGTTCCTTGCCATCAACCAGCCTTGTTTTCTTTCCATTCCTGGTGCTTGTGAATGAACAACAAGGGCACAAGCAACAGGAAAAGCCATCCTTCTCTTTCTTCTCTCTGTGTTTTTTACACCTTTCCCATATACTTTGGTAGCAGAAAAGACAGTCAGTCTGCGGTCATGGTCTTACTTGTGGTCAAATTTCAGTTTACCAGTTATGAGCAAGTACAGAGATCTGTTGTGGTCTTTTTTCACTTTGATTAAGATACTTTTGTGTTTTTGTATTACTGCTAGCTGGTCCTGCTCTTTCTATTTGTGTGTGATGGCGACAGGTTAAAAGTCAGAGAGAAGACTCTCTCTTCATTTTAGCATCTGCCCAAACCACTGTACTTCTGTGGAGGTATTTCAAAGGGTGCAAAGTCCTCGTGCAAAAGAGACAAATATGCTTTTCAGGCAGGGATGTCCACCTGTCTCCAGTCACTGCCCCAGGTACAAAAAGTTTCTTTCTCAACTTGGCTGCTTGGAGCTTCTGGGAAAATGCTGTTCAAACACTGCTGGCCTCTATTGAGCAAAAGATCTGGTAACATCAATCTTTGTTCAGCCTTTGTTGTCTCACAGGTTGCTAGCAGCACTGAGACTACCTTTTATGAGGGTTTCATATCTGTGGAAACAGATCAGGTTCTTGCAGATGAGATACTTGATTACTTGCTATAATTTTTAAAAGCCAAAGCAAGGAAACAAACACCTTCTGGGAATTTTAAAAAATGTTTAGTGCCGTGGTGGTTTTCATTTTGCAACACCTGAAATCATAACAAGCTTGCAGAGTGAAATTACTGAGCTACATGTACTGAATGCATGCTGTTACTCTGAAACAAGAAACTACAGAGAAACTTCAACCTTTCCAAGATGACTTGAAATTAAAAAAAAGACAGCCAAACAAAAAACCAACACAAGAACTAAAGGAGTATGATGCACTGATCAATCGTGTGTTTGGGATGCATTTGTGCAGAAGATGAATTTGTTTCTTTTTTGGTCACCTGTGAACAGGAATCCTTTTTCTCTGGTGTTTTAAGACACATAATACCCTCTCTTACCTGTGTCAGTGAAGAACATCTTTTATTGGAAGATGACAGTAGCTGGTCATCCAGTTACCTCCAGGTACCCTTCACATTAACCTGTGCTGGTCCTCTCAGAACCTGGATCCAGATGGAGACTTTCCTGGCTGGGCCATTTCAGATTTGGCTACCAGAAAGGGCACGGTGTGGGCAGCTCTTACCTGGAGTTCCCCTCACCAAGCTGAAATGCAAATCCTCCCCAAGGAGAGCTAGGAGGGCCCGGAGATTCTGTCAAAAATGTGCATTGTGCCCATAATGTCTGAGCTCTTGCCCTGTGCCTCAGCTCCCCTAGCTGTAAGACAACAACTTTTTAAAAAATAGGGTCAAGTGGCCAGTGATGCAGAAGAGAAGACATTAATTAGTTATTTCAGTAGAGATATCATATGTTACCATTTTTGAGAGTTCAAAGGAGAATCAGAAATAAATTAAGACAAAAGCCTGAGTGTGGCCTACGAGCAGTCCTCTTTTGAGCTGAGCGTGTGAGGGATATGTGGAGGGGTATCCTGTGCCAAGGGCAAGAGAACATCAGGACTGGTCAATCATGCCAGTGCTCCATCAAGGAGCTGGCAGAGAACTTGGATTTTACTGGTCTGGAACCAAAGGGCTTTTCTGCTTCTGAGCCTCATTTCTGTGAGAAGTGTCTTTGACTCAACGACTATCCCATAAGATGCAGGTTTCTTGATTTTTCTGATGGATGTTGCTGCTGAATGACTGTGAAAAAGAAAATCATCCTGGAAGCATCTAACTTGGTGTCTCCACATTGATAGTTCCTGCTCCCATAGACGTGATGCCTCCATGACTGCAAGTGGCACCTGTGTACATCATTGCTGTGTGACAGGAAGGTGGCTGCAGATACAACCAGTACTACATCGCCTTTGAATGATTTTATCAGTTATGCAAATGCTAGAAATCTCACCTCAGTTATACTGACTATTCATTTCCAGTCTCCTACTTTAAAAGCTTCTTTTATGCCTGGAGTACTGAAGTCCTGTTGAGAGCACCGTTTTAATTATAGTTTTGATTGACATTACTAAATGGCTCTTGATTTCTAACTGTAAATCAAGATAGATATTTGCAGAAGAGATGGGAGTTGATGAGTCTCGTGGTTTAAGGTAAAAGAGAACCAATTTTCATATCAATAATTTTACTTTTCAGCTAAGCCTCTTCGAACTGAACTCTTCCAAGTTAATGGCATCTTTTTCAGACAGTGTTGGCTTCTAGCAGAGATAAGGCCTGATGTTTATAGTTCATGCCAAGGAATGGTATGCAGAGAGGGTCTCACTTACACTTACTGCTATAACAACCAAGGTCAGGTACCTTCATTATTTGCCCCATTGGAGGGTCAGAAATGGAAAAGCGTAGAGGGGTCCCACCTGTGGGGAGGAGCAGACAGGACGGGTGACCCAAAACTGACCAACAGGGTGTTCCATCCCATCTGCCCCGTGCTCAGTATAAAAGCTGAGGGATCAAAGGCTCAGCCTCTTTCTTCAGTGGCTGACATCTGAGGAGGACCCTGTCTGTTCATCTGCCTTTAATCCCAATCCATGCATTCCTGAATCCAGTCTCTGAGTTCAGCTCCCATCCGTCACTGAGTCCAGTCAGGGACTTTCCCAGACCCTGCTGGTGATGTGATCATCATCCTGAGAGCTTGATGTGGTTTTGTATATATTGTATGTATTTCATGATTTTCTTATTAATATCATTATCTTTTTGTTATTTTCTTAGTATTTTATTAAAGTAGTTTAGTTTCTTTTGAACTCTTAAGTCTCTCTTTCTCTCATTTGTCTTTCACTTGGGAGAGAAGTTAGCGTTTGTTAGTTTCAATGGCCAGCCCAGCCCAAGCCACGATGATGAGGTTGGTCTCTGGCTGTGTTAAGAGAAAGACGTTGGATAAAACTGGAAACCAGTAAGAGCTCGTGGAGGAAAATATGTGTGTATATCCCTGCTGGCGTTTTTAGACTGGAAGCATCCTGGTAACAGAGGAGCACTGTGGTGCCTGTTGAATTGCATTCTCTTTCAGACCAGGCGTGCAGAGCTGGTGCTGAGACAGTGACAAGCAGTAATGGTGTAGGAAGGAGAAAAATCAATTCCTTTCTTTCTAGGGCTGGCTCTCCGACTGAAAGGAGCAGACTGGGAGGAGGCTGCCAACCATGATGCTGCTTCCATATCATCAAAAGGGATGAAGCTGTCTTACAGAGTCAAAGGTAAGTATGTAATTCAGCTTTATAATGGTGTAGGAAGGAGAAAAATCAATTCCTTACTTTCTTTCCAGGGCTGGCTCTCCGACTGAAAGGAGCAGACTGGGAGGAGGCTGCCAACCATGATGCTGCTTCCATATCATCAAAAGGGATGAAGCTGTCTTACAGAGTCAAAGGTAAGTATGTAATTCAGCTTTATGTTTAGGGAGTGACTGTGGTGGCCTAAGCGGTGTATGAAAACAAACTAACCAACTACTTTTTACTTTTTAATCATTATTTATAGTCTTTCATATAATTAAGCTGATTTTTTTTCCCTAGTCTACCTTTCTGTGGTGGCTTAGTGCTACTGAAGAGAGGCCACAGGCTGGCCTTCCGAGGAACCCCAATGCAAAAATGTGGGTGTAGGAATGAGTCAGCTTTGCTTCACTCACATGTCTATCCCTTCTCTTTCATGGTTTGATAGGTCTGTACATGCCATCATTGGAAACTCTCGTTCAGCTGAAATGACACCTTTGGTCAACTGACATTTTGAAAATCCCTTCTGTATTTTTGACTGTATTAATACTATTGTCTCATCCTTTCTCATTAGCAGATTTCAAAGCCCTCTCTTAAGAGTAGTGGCATTATCCACTGTAGCTGGCTGCATGGGGGAGGAAGATTTGTTCCAGGTGACAGACAGGACAAAACCTCCCAGTTTTGGTGACCTCCAGTCCCAGCACCTGGATTCCTGAGCTTGTCACTTAAAGGTGAGCTCCCTATTGCACCCAATTCGGCAAACTTGCTCAGAGCACAGCCTCCAGCTCAGTTGCTCATCCAGCCCATGCATCGAGTAGATTATTACTGGGAGGACTGGAAGAGGTTATTCAGGCAGAGAGACATGGACAACATTCACCTGGGGGGAGCTCTGGCTGCACCAAGCACCCTGTGCACCAAAGACATGTCTGTGCAGGCTGTGGGACACAAAGCTGAGCAGCGATGTGAAGCGCCTTTGAGTTTTGTGCGGAAAAGGGGCTTTACACCATCTCCATTTATGGCAACACTGCGCAGCCGCTGGGTGCGGCCCGTTAATTCCACACATGAGCAGATTCATCACCCTCTCCCACCACAGGGTGTGTGCCCAGAGCCGGATGGACCAGCCTGCAAGCTGGTAGCCATCCCAGTGTCATTCCTCAACACTGCTCGTAGCCCTGAATCTCTCTCATCTCACAGTTGTCAAGAGCCGAGACCCTATGGCTTACTTTTTGCTTTGCTGGCCATCATTTTTGCCAGGCCAGCACAAGCAGCCCTTCCTCTGGCTGGGAAAGCAAGGTTTTTCAAAAGGATGCGTTTATTCTCACCGACTAGAAGGATCAGAGAGTAGGACCAAGAAAAAAAATAACTGTGGTGCGCTGTTTGGATCCCAGGTCAGTCTGTGCACTTGAGCAATGGGCTCAGCACTTCCCAGTGCCTGCACCGTCAGTGTCCCCTCTGTGAGGACAATGTGCCATGCCAGCTTGGGAGTGACATGTTGTTGGGTTCAGCTGACATCTGTGGGATTTAGAAGCACATGACACTTGCAGTTTGTCTTCCTTTTCAAAACAGGTGATGGATGGCTTAACCCACCCCTTGCAGTGTTTTTTCCCAACTGATTTACTCAGTGGCTTGTAAGGTTCTGAGTAGTAAAAATTTATAGTCTTTTTCTTGGGAAGGAAGACACTTTCTTACTACACGTAATGTTTTCTACAGCTATTCTCATTATTTGCATTAATGCAGATCCTTGCTTGTCAACCTCAGCAAACTGCTAATGACAATGCATTCCTGAAATTAATTGTGGTGGGTATGGGTGTGTTTGAGTATTTAAGTTGCTGCTTTTTGTTTTCAGTCTTGTATCATGAGAGAGGTCACATGGGGGTGAGCTTCCACTTATGTTTCTTATTTAGGGTGATGAGAGCAATGGCACTACAATATTTTTACATTTCTTCTTCAGCCCAATTCAGCCATTTTAATGTCGTGTCTGCTCTTTGCAGCTGTGTCTGAGCAGCTGCTTTGTTACTGCCAGCCTAAAAAAAATAGTCTTTCTGCTGAATGGTTGTCATCCAGCAAAAAGACGCACCAAAAATATCTTCCAATACCTATTTTTCAACTCTTACTTTATCTGCTACCACATTACTGATTATTGCCTCTTTTTAAAATTATTTTTGTGCCAAAATCTAACTGTTACTCTGTGAATTTCCTTCCTGTTCCAGATCTCTGATCAATATCATGTAGATATGTGAGTGGCTACTGGGGCATCACAGTCTTTGCATTTTGCCGTTATCAAATGCTAGGATTCTTCGTGTGGTTTTGAAGTTATGACAGACCATTTCTATAATATCTCTGGTTTTACTTTCTTTTGTTTTGCCTGATACGTCTCCAATGAATGAAAATTGAGAATTGGGGTTAAGTGCTTTAGAAACAAAGAACATTCCCTTTAAAAGATACGTTTTTAATCAAGATACTTCAAACTTATTCACACGTGCTGGAAAATAAATGATTTCAAACACTTATATTAAAAAATATAAAAAACATTTTCTATGTTAATTAAAGTACAGAATTGCTATCCTGAATTACAGTGATAGAGTAATTCAAAATGTCTATATATACACCTACACATAGGCATATGTGGCAACTTGAAAACCTGAGAGAAAACGTGTCTCTAACACAAGGTAATGCATTTGCTTTGCGTCTTTGTGCACATAAAGAATGTGTTTTGTGTCCTTTTTCTTAATGACACGGAGTGTATCCGCTCCCTGAGATGAAGCAGTGAACAGCAGCAGGTACTGTTAATAGCTTGCTAAGATTCAGAACCAACAAGTTCTACACAGATCAGCTGTAGAATTAAAAAAAAAAAAAAAAAAAAAAAAAAAAAAGAAAAAAAAGTGGTAATAACCATCCTTCTTGAATAAATGAATATGTTTTCCAAATGCAGGTGCTGAGGACAAGCAGCTGTCTCTCCTCTGCCCTTCCACTCAGGCCAACCTCCGTCTTGATGCTGGTGGAAAAAGAAGGAACGTGGCACAGTTCGTTGCAGAGAACCAAGGCTGCTGTTACGTCTGAGCAGTGATTTATAATCACAGCAGATAAAACCTGCGTGTCCATCTCCCACGTCTCACATCTAGGACACCTTCTGTCATATTATTCAGAAAACCTAGAGGCAGAAATCAAAGCTGAAGTAAGTAATTATCCAGCACTAGCTTCCTGTTAAATGCATGTGCATTTGCTTAGCTTTTCAAAGTTCCTGCTTTTGTCAGTTTGCTTTTGCAGTGAGTTCAGTGGTTGGTCTGAAACATGTTACAGAGCATCTTGGTCCCCTGTAGATTGTGTGTGGAATGAACTGGTGGATTCAGTGTGGTAAGTGATGTGAACTCCACACCACTTGCAAATACGTCCAGGTAATCGCCAGTTCTTAAAGAGCATCTTGACGTACTTCTTAAATTTTTCCCCCATGAAGAAGTAGATGACTGGGTTGAGGCAACAGTGGAAAAGACCGAGGATTTCTGTTACCTGGGCAGCATAGTCCAGACTCCTGCTCACTTGACAGTCTCTAATGAGTCCCATCATTTCCAGCAGTTGTAGGAAAATAACAATGTTGTAGGGGGTCCAAAAGAAGAAAAACACGATCATGACAGCAAAGATCATCCTCACAGCCTTATTCTTTTTCTCGTTTCTACAGTGAGATAATGTTTTAATGATCATGGCGTAGCAAAATGTCATAACTATAGAAGGGATTATGAGCCCTAAAATGTTGATTTCCAAAGTGGAAAAAAGTTTCCATGTCGTGAAATTGCTTGGATATATCGGCTTGCAGGTGGTATAATTATGTTCGTTAAAAGATTCTCTAAATACAAGTTCTGGAACTGAGGCTGAAAGAGATATTAGCCATACAACAAGGCTAGTGATTAAGCCGTAGAAGGCAGTCCTTGCTTTCAAGGAAAACACTGCACGAACAATTGCCAGGTATCTGTCTATGCTCATAAGCATGATAAAAAATATCCCGCTATAAAACCCAACCAGGTAGATCCACGAAATGATTTTACACCAGGGAGTTCCAAAAACCCATTGGTCTATTGTGTAATAAGACCAGAACGGCAAAGATACAACAAAGAGCAGATCTGAGATGGCGAGGTTTAGAAGGTACACATCAGTCATGCTCTTCAGCCTCTTGTATTTGAAGAGGACCACAATGACCAGAATGTTTCCCATGAGCCCCACCAGGAACACTAGGGTGTACAGGACGGGTAGGAAGGAGGCTGCGAACCTCTTGACGCTTTCCTTACTGCATGGCTTGGGAGCATCGTTGTAATTCTCGTAATAGTCATAGAAGGTTGAGAGTTCAGCTTCAGAGGACTCTGTACTTGAAGAAATCATGTCTGGTTTTTTCCCCAGTTCCTAAGAAGGAAAGAATATAAAAATGTCAAGGACTTTCAGTCTGTGAAGACCGTGTGGTTACTCCGCAAGCCTGAATCACTAGCAATGACTAACTTGCAGTTCCAGCACACTTCTCATTACAGGTTTTTCAAACACTTCTTAAGCATTATGGGATGCATATGCATACTTGCTAAGTATCTTTAACATGCACGTGCTTAGTCCTTGCAGCACCATGCAACTTGGATGGTGGAAAGGAAAGTAACATGCACGTGCTTAGTCCTTGCAGCACCGTGCAACTTGGATGTCAAGCACACAAAAGGCTGTTCAAATGGTGGAAAGGAAAACAAATAGGAATGAAAGATACGGACCACAAACATCAAATCAGAGAGGGATAATTCCCGTGTGGAATAAAGCAAAAAGCAAAGACACTATTCATAGCAGTTCAGGATTTCACCCACCTTTCCGGTCAGGCAAACATCACTGTAAGAGGACAGTAATAAAAATGCATCTGACTCTTCCTTCTAATGAAACTACAGTTACTGAAAGATGACATGAGCTTTCAGTAAGTGCTGTCTTCAGTGGCTAAATGAATAACAGGAATTTGTTGGTTTTGTATGTATGTTCTTTTCTAATAGGCAGAGACAGAGTTTTAAGTGATGTTACTCCAAGGCAAGTAACTTGGGCACAGTTTGAATATATTATTGATGTGTATTTACATCACAGCAAGTGCCATTTTTTTTACCCTAACATACCGGAATTTTTCTAAGCCTATTTTTTCCCCTTTGTCTTTATTTTTATGAATGGAAAGCAGAAAAAAAGTGAGTATCATTGCTTTATTTGTCTTTGCACTGTTTATTGCTGCAACGTAACAAGGAACACTGCCTATCTTTAACCTGACCCCTACTGTGTATAGTCCCAGGCTTGATACCTCTCCAGCCCACGGTTCTGTTCCATTACACACACAGAGGAATTTAATCAGAATTACAGGTCACAGGGACAAAACTGTCTGACACCAGTGGTCTAGAGGTGACAGCTTTGCAACAATTGCACCTACACATTACCTGAATCTAACCTAGGTTCAGCATAATATTTAAAACTTAAATATTTAAGTAATTAAAACCGAAAACATACGCTCACATAATGCACATAAAGCCATTTCTGATGATGCAGAAGTTCTTAAAACTGCTTAAAAATTACCTGAACAGCAACAAAAGGTAAATGAAAAAACATTAGTCACACACATGATGAGTGTACATGTCAGCAACTGTATTTTGTGGATTTTACCTTTTCTCCTCCTTTCTTCTCGGATGATGTGAAGAAGCTTCTTTGCTCTAAGGGTGTAGAATCACTTGTCACTCACCAGGTAGCTCTGTCGGGGAGGTGCTGTCTACACAGCAATATCCAGCAGCTGCAAAAACCAGATGTCACAAGGTAGCTGTGTCTCTTAACGGAAACTTCGTACTTCCTTACAGATTGTATCACAAGTGGTTCTCTCCTCAGTGCTCATCAGAGATGATCCTTTAAAGTCAGAAATAAAATTAAAGACATAATGTGGAAGGAAATGCAAAGTTTCCACTGGCAGCCCGATCACTGAGTTAAAGCAGCTTCATCTGACCCAATAATCATTAAAAGTGGATGCTGCTAAGCAGCTCTTATTCAACAGAAACCTTGTTCTTTCTTATGAGCTGTAAAATGCATCTTAATCTCAGAAGAAAATAATCTAAGGATCATCTGTAGTGAGTGGAGAGGAGGAAGGCACTTGGTGGGTGTGTGTGAGGTGTGCTTCTAGTCCCGTTCTGCCAGATAACTAATTTTGCAACTTGCAGTATGTAATTGTAGAAGAAAATATCCGTATAGACTTAGCGTAGGGAAGGCTCCTTTTATCCATTGCTCTTTGATCTTCCAAGCTCCTGCTTACCTTGCTAAGAAAGGAAATGAAGGCATGTTAATTCACACTCCCTTTTTGCTTGATGTCTCCCGTAGCGGGTTTTCCATACAGCAAATCTACCTCCTACCACTGACTACAAATGGTAATAGTGGTCAAAATATCAAACGAGAAGTAGAAGGCTTACATGTGTGTGTGGTGTAAGGGCAGAGGCTGCGGAGGTTTACCATGGGTTTTTGTCACAGCAGGAAGCTCAGTAGCTTTTATGAATTTCTCCTGAGAGTGTGGTGGGCCCTCTCTGTCTTTTGGGGGACCCTGGGACGGGAGAAGAGAGCACAGAGGACTATGTGCTAGCCAAATGGGATGGGTTTGAGTCCTGCCAGGAGAACAGCTGTGCTAGCAGCTGGCAAGTGCTGCTCTCCTCTATGTCCTAGAAGAGGCTAGCCAAGCAGAAGTAAAAGCCAGTTCTCAACAGGAGAGGCTGCTTGCTTGTTCACAGGAGAAATTGAAGAGTCACTGACAGAAGCAGAAACAAGAAAGGTACAGGAGGTGGCTGGGAGGGTAGGAAGGATCATAGATCTCACTCCAGGAGGAGTGAGATTTCTTCTAGGTAGACCTTCAGTGTTATTCCACCCCCAGGTATAGCTTTTCTTTCAGGTAGGCTGTTTGCTGCTATCCTGTATGCCTCTGGCATTGTTACTTTGCCCAATAACTTACATTTGGCTGAAGTGATGTGAAGCCAGTATGAGATGTCTTCATGTTTTCATGTTTCACCAGAATAAAGTAATTGTATGAGAAGTGGCTTCTCGGTCATCTTTCGCAAGCTGCATCTGAGGAGATTTTAAAATCTGTCACTGGGAGATGTTCCTCTGATGTAGGTTATTGCTCTGCAGACCATGTATGTCTTCTCTTCAGTTTACTAGCAGTTCTTTAAAGATGTGAACATCAGCTGAGCATGCAACACTGGGGTACCAGTTTCATCAGCTCTTTTCACAGAAACCAGAAGCTGTTCCTCTTTGCTGTTCTTTTGTCCATGTAAGGGCCTCATTAATCTCTTCTTTGACGTGTTGTTGCACTAGAGATGTAAGTTCAGCTCCTCACCCACAATAACAATGACATAAAATCTTTAAGTACCTGCTTTTCAGGAAAAAAACACCTCTTGCTCTGTAGGCATTGTTCTTTCTTAGTTTTGGCTTTAATGCTTTTCTCTCAATAAACAACTCTGCGTCTACGTGCCTACCTTGTCCCACTTGTTATTTCCTACTCCATCGAAGTAGGTGTCTCTTTTGAATTTCATCACTGGTGATTTTTCTTGATTTCCAGATGAAGCAGTGAATAGAATTGAATCCAGATGCAATCTCTCCTCCACCCTCTGAGAACTCTTCTTGATTAAGGGATGATTCCCCATCAGCCATAACCTTTTGGCGCCTGTCGACCTCTCCTTAGCACACACGCCACACTTCAAATACACTTCTGATCTTTCAGTCGTAATTGATTGATTACCAGGGACCAAGTCTGGCTTATAGGTACCAAGGATCTATCTGGCCTCTTGCCCTTTGCCCAGCTCTTCCTTGGAAGAAAGACTTTAAAGTAACGAATGCTTCCGATGCAGCTTTCTCAACCTTCTTGCCTCGGGTGGAAAGCTGGGCTGCTACCACTAGAGGAGCAGTGCAGTAAAGGCTTCGTTCAGTGTGTGTGGCTGTGGTGAGGTGAGGAGAAAGGGCACTGTCCTGCAAAGCAGCAGTTGAATTGCTGAAGCCTGCCACGCGAGAGCCTGCGGGTAAAACCGCAGAGAAAGACCAAAAGAAAAAATCTCTGAGCAAATGAGACAACGCAGGAAAATGCTGGTGCGAGTGAAGATCCTGCAATGGCTTGAAGAGAAAGAAGAGTGAAAGGGGCTAAGTGTAACTGTTGTCTGTAGTGGGAGAACCTTGAAGTCCCCTTCTAACAAGATGGTGTAGTTTTTTTCAGCTCCTCCTCAGAGAAGAACCTGGCAGAGACTAACAAAAGGGGGATGGCAGGAGATCACGAAGTTAAAGCGAAGGGGGGAAAAGATCTCAATGAGATGTAGAGGACGTTGCTGTAATACCAACAGGTTAGCAGGGGAAGGGGAAAAGGAAGAAGACGACTTACCTCTTTACTAGATGATATCACATGTGTGGCCCTGACTAAATAGATCACAAGAGTGCAGAAAAGTGGACCAAACCTAATCAGCCTGACTGGGAGGAGATTAACCTCTTACATGGGATGGGGAAGGGGGAGGCACGTTAAAACCAACAGAAGGGAACTTAATAAAAGCAAAAAGCAAAACAACCCAAACCATGAAAAACTTGCTTCTTGGCAAAAGATTATTTCAGCCACTCCCATCTTTTACAGAAAGTCTTGTCGTTAACTTGCTGTTTTACAGGATGCATAAGAGTCTTTCCCAAGAAAGGACTGGAGATAAGTGTTTATGTAACTCACTAGCTAGGCTGGGAGATACCACTGATATACCACTGCACCATCCCTTCCCTCTGATATCACCATGGATAGGTGATTCAGAAGTGTTTGTTAGAAAAGTCCTCATCCAGAAGAGACTGCCTGAGGAGAGAGGCAGATGACAGCAACTAAAGATAGCCAACTATTACAAAAATCAGTATTGTGACTGATTGTGTGGATCAGCACAGGATCCAGGCTGCCAAAGTCACAGTTGGGCAAACAATTGCCTTTCTGAACAAACTGTCCTCTCTATCAGGTGACCAACCCCTTCTTGCGTGGTCAGGCCATGTGGAGTTCTTCTTTTACAATTCAAGTGAATTTGAATTGCAGTTTGCACATCTGTGGTTCCAATCCTTGCTTGTTAGCAAAGTGTTTGTGCCACCTAGTCATCATGCAGTTCTTTTCCTCGTCATTTTTAATTTATTCAAAATTTCCTGGGCATAAGTAAAACTGCAGCAATCTGACAGAGAACTAAAAAAAGGAAAGTGAATTAATTTCCTAGTTTTAGAGACAACCACTGTCTACCCTGTTGTCCCAGGTGATTCACTCATAGTTTACCTCAATCTTTTTGACTGTATAAACCCTTTGGTTAAGACAGCTGCTTGGGTTGACAAGCAAAAGATTTAAGCCTAAAAGGGGTTTTCTTTGCTTAACACTGTTAAGTTGCAATTCCCCATGACTTTTTTTTTTTTTCTTCTTCCAGTGGTTCTGTTCTATGCACTCTGGTGTTTGTAAAAATTTTGTGAATGGTACTGGCCACCATTTTCCTCACCCTAATTTGCTTCCTTTCCACATGCTGTGCTTGCAAAGCTGCTATATCCAGAACTCCTCATAAAAAAAAGAACTGAAACTTCAAACCTCAAATATGACAGAAACAGTCATTTTGTATGCTCAGTTTTACTTAACATAAAAATCACTGATGCAAAAACCATGAGTTGTATTCTTTATAAATGTGAAATGACTCTGTGAGGAGTTTTCTTTGTCTTGCTCAGTGATCTATCGAATGTTCCCAAGCTGTTTGTACAGGAACAGGACAAATTTGGGCTTTTTCCATTCTGAGGAGCAGTCACACCTGAGATATAATTTTTTTTTCTTTTTTAAATTTCCCAGATATCACCTAACCATCACTATGATGTCCCTGTTAAAGGCTGGTCTCTCTGAAGAAAAAACAAAAAAAAAAAGAGAAAAAAGCAAGGCAGCAGTGAATAGCAGAGGTCTCTTCAGGCCAGTTTGTTTGATGTTTATTGTGATGAGTTTAGATACAGAGGGATGACGACGTTCTGGCATAAAGGCTTGGATTTCTGTTTGCTTTGTGGTAGTGCCCCCAACTCTCAAACACTGTAGTTGTTGGTAGCCTCCAAAAGCGTAGTAAAAGACTGGACTGTTTAGATACAGAGGGATGACGACGTTCTGGCATAAAGGCTTGGATTTCTGTTTGCTTTGTGGTAGTGCCCCCAACTCTCAAACACTGTAGTTGTTGGTAGCCTCCAAAAGTGTAGTAAAAGACTGGACTGAGCCCTGGAAGAGGCTGCCCAGGGAGGTGGTGGAGTCTCCTTCTCTGGAGACATTCCAAACCTGCTCTGGGTGGACCTGCTCTGGCAGGGGGTTGGACTAGATGATCTCCAGAGGTCCCTTCCAACCCCATGTGATTCTGTGACTGGCAAATATCTCCACAGTCTCTCCTGCCATTTTACTCAAGTGGTGGTTGTGACATAAAGGAAGACAGAAAAACCAAAGAATTTGGAGAGCATCAAGAGTGAGACAGAACCAATACTTACTCTTATCAGTTAGTAATCGTCTGTGTTTGCTGAGACCCAGACACTGTTTTCACACGGTAAAAGCTGTTCCACTGCAAGTCCTCTTCAAAACAAGCTGTACAGCCAACTCACGTCACGTTCAGTTCACTTTTAGTAGCAGGGGAAAGCACTCAGGGCACTGAAATAAATCTGTGATGGCAACAATAACAGGTTTGCGTTGGAACATCTCTCTGGTCTGTGTGATTCACAAGATATTCTGACGTGTTTTGTGAATTGTTGGTGAAACTGTTTGTAGTTAATTTAACATTCGCAGGGTCGCATTCACACAATAACAACCAGCAACTAAAAAAAAAAAAAAAAGGAAGAAATTTATGCTTTCTTCCAGAATTGGCATGTAGTGACTGTTTTTTCTTTTTGTAAATATGTTTTTCACACTCTGTACTTGTTCATCGATGACTCCAGCTGCTACACTGGCACGTCCTCCTTTACCATGAATGACTTTTGATTCTGAGAGAGTTTAATAATGCCACCTTCTGGTGGAAGTGCAAGGAAAGCATAGACACTAAAGATGGGCAGAAGAAATGATGGAGTGAGCTTAGGATGGAGGGTCCTGCCTGAGCAAAGGTAATTACAGGGACAGTGAGAGGTTTTGGTGACTCTGGAAATCATCATAGAATGGTTTTGCTTGAAAGGGACCTTAAAGATTATCTAGTTCCAACCCCCCTGCCATGGGCAGGGACACCTCCCACTAGGGCAGGTTGCTCGAAGCCCTAAAATAAAATATATATATATATATATATATATATAAAATACTTGGCTCCAGGTGCTGTCAGCCTTGTGTAAAAATATGTGTGCTACTGCCTATAGTTGCCTTTTCTGAATCTGACTTGATCTGTAAACTCTGGGCTGTGCCTTCACTGTTGTCTTTATGGTAGGTTGTACTTTGTCCATTCCTGAAACTTGAGTCACCAGGAGATCTGGAGAGCAGAGACCAGAAATGGGGACCAAGAAGAAGGAACTGAACAAGAAACCAAGTGATGGTGAGCCTTAATGATTCAAATGAGGGCTCCCTTTGAAACTATCAGCTGACAGCAGTACAAGGATACCTGTTTCCCAAGATAGGACCCCAAGGGGGAGAGGGGCTACAATAAAGCAAAAACTCACTGGAGAGGGGCTCTGAAGCCACTCGTGGGGTATGACCTGGTCAAATTTTAGTCAGCTCTACTACTGCCATCTACAAAACAGACAAACCTAGACACCTTCCCTCTGGAGCAAAGAAATGTGCTGATGAGGGTCCTTTATCTGTACCAGGAGGTCTAGCAAGGTGTCCCTAGGAAGCGCTGAAAAGTGATTCCTGTACGTGCTCACCCAGTTCCCCATCCCTGAGTGGTTTTTGGCCATTAGCTATACTGCTTGAAGCCCTTCCAGTGGGAAATGCTCCCCATTTCCATGTGCTCCTGTATAAGAAAGGGAATGGCAAAGGACTGTGGATGAAGGTGGTGCCACAACCTGCTCCAGGTGCCTCTTAGACATATCATTTCCTTCTGGTTTGCTCCTACCTGGTTGGAGCCCTGAAAGTAACAGGAGCTGCCCCTCAGGGTTTCAAACAATTCTTATCTGTAAGGAACTGTGCTTGTAAAGTCACTGGTGTAGGGAATTGCACGTAGAAATAGCAGCATGTGTCTGGCACTAGAGGGAACTCTCTTGTCAGCAGACGCGTGGAGCATCTCCTGTTCTGCTTCATCAGCTTCCTCAGTGTCCTCTGACGCGCCCGGCAAATCATGGCCATCGCAAACTGTGGTGTCATTTCTTTGTGTCACAGGTGCTGCTGGTTTTAACTTTAATGTGGTAAACGTAGCATTTATGGGGTAAATGCAAACTTTTGTGGGAGAAATGCAGCTTCTTTCAGTTGCCTGTGTATCCTGACATAGGGATCTGCATGTGGCTGGACTGCTAGGGAAGAGTGACAAATGCATATAACCTATTGGAGACTTTGTTTTCCACCCCAGCCAGTTTCTGGCTGCTCCAGTTACAGGTGCAGTTGGCAAGTGGATAATAACATAGTGAAGAAGCTGTGCCCAGTGTCCTTGCTGGAATTCTCTGTCCCGTTCACTGACCTCTGCCCTCGGTGACGTGAAGTTGATGTGCTGCTTCCTGCTGATGGAAGGATTGCAGCTGGGAATTTGGTAAGTGCAAACTGTTTTTCACAAGCAAACCGGTTTCCCCATGTCCAATAGGAGCTATTTTACAGCATTTCTTTAGGGAGAGGAATGACAAATACCACATATTAACTATATGTATTTGTATATTGAATATTAGTGCAGTTAACAAAATTATACGTATGTGTGTATATATATAGGTGGGTATTTTTTTCCCATATTGAATACAGTGTGTTAACACTAACACTGCAAAACTCAGGTCTTGAGGTTTGGGTGTGTATATGTTGAGAACCAAGCTCTTACAGTAGTTACCAAGTAAATCAGGAAGTTCTTATTAACAATGGCAGCAGAATTATTACCAACTTCAACAGAAGCTCTATGTATGTGACAGGTCTCAGAAGCCATCCTTTAACAGATATAAATTGCTCTCAATTTTAGCTACAGTTACCCTGCATGGGCAATAACTGCAGAAGAAAATTGTTACCAGCCAGGAGCTGCAAAAGCAAAGGTGGGCAAAGATACTGCAACTTCTAAAATTTGAACTTGACAACAATACAGCTGGTAACTGAGTTTTTCTTTGGAAAACTCACCTGTGTTTGGGACTTGCAGGGAGGGGGCTTGTCCCCTTTTTGGCAACAGCGTGTCCTGCTAGGGCAAGGGTTTTGTACTACCTACCATATCTCAGTGAGGGACCTCACAAAGGTGATAAGAGACAAAATGTAAATGACTGAACCCAACCCGTAACCAGTGCATTTATAAATAATTTCTCTGTGAAATATAGCCTTAAGACTTCAGACTACCCTGAACCAGGGCTTCAGATCCACTCCCAGCAAATTCTAAATCCAACAGAAATATGTGGCTAGTGACTCCTTCTGATGCCAGTGCTGGAAACTGCAGCTTTCACCGCTGAGCAACTTCCCAGCTCAGCAGGATGCTCTGACTGGCTGCATTTCTAATTTTTTGTACAAGTTAAAAACCCCAAAAGGTCAATGAAGAGAATTCAAAGCAGCCATGCTCAGCTAAAAAAATGACGAAACACAAATCCTATAATTTTGGGACTGTGATGTGATATTTAAATGAGAAAGATTTGCAGTGGCACCTAAAAAAGATACCGATGTCCATGTGTCTCACTGCAAGCAGTTTGGCTAAATATGTTTCTTGCTCATTCTATTTAAAAGTAGAACATGAAGTATAGTTATGAACCTGCAGAGAAAAACTGGATTCAGGTTTTACTAGTTCCTCAAACTGTAACCCAGCTCAAAAAGATTTATGTTAAGTGTCAGTGTGATTCTCAAACAGGAAAAAAGAAGTTGATCGTGATGAAAAAATACAATGCAAAGATAGCTCACCACCCCTCAAAACCCCAAAGCCCAATCCCCCCACCAAACCCAGAGATTTCCTGACCAAAATACTGTTCAATGGATAGATATAACAAGTGTGTGTGCGTTTTCATGTGTAAATTGTAACTTGCTAAATAAGCAAGAGTCTATCCTTAATTCATGGCAGATGGAAAGGTTTTCTCCCATCCTGAGAGTGGTTACTTTCTCCAGTGTAATGGGTAGGAACTGGGTGTTTCTAGTCCCCCGGGATATGCTGATCCAGTCTAAGGATATATGCAGCATTAGTACTGTTCACAGAAAAGTGTATAGGCTGGAGAATTGGGCAGAAATTCAACCAGGGCAAGTGTAGGGTGCTGCACCTGGGGAGGAAAAACCCCCCTGCACCAGGACAGGCTGACCTGCTGGAGAGCAGCTCTGAGGAGAAAGACCTGGGAGTCCTGGTGGACAATAGGATGTCCATGAGCCAGCAATGTGCCCTTGTGGCCAAGAAGGCCAATGGCATCCTGGGGGCATCAGGAAGAGTGTGACCAGCAGGTGGAGGGAGGTCATCCTGCCCCTCTGCTCTGCACTGGGGAGGCCCTATCTGGAGCACTGGGACCAGTTCTGGGCTCCCCAGTTCCAGAAGGACAGGGAACTGCTGGAGAGGGGACAGCAGAGGCTACAAAGATGATGAGGGGCCTGGAGCATCTCCCTTATGAGGAAAGGCTGAGGGACTTGGGTCTCTTTAGTCTGGAGAAGAGAAGACTGAG